TTTATTTATTTGACAGAGAGAGAGATAGTGAGAGCAGGAACACAAGCAGGGGGAGTGGGAGAGGGAGAAGCAGGCCTCCCGAGGAGCAGGGATGCGGGGCTCGATCCCAGGACCCTGGGATCATGACCTGAGCCGAAGGCAGACGGTTAACGACTGAGCCACCCAGGCGCCCCTACAGTTTCCTAATTATAAAAATAATGTTGCTTATTATAGAAAATTTGAAAAATACAGAAAAGACTATAAAAAATCATCTGATGACCTGTAAACCCAACACTCAGACACTTTTCACATGATTTCTCTACTTACACATATTTACAAAATGACATCAAAATAACTAGCCTGTTAACTGAATCAAATGGCCTTAGATTCATATCTGGACTCTATTGCTCACCAGCTGTGTGACCCTGAGCAAGTCACTTAAGCTCCCCGAACCCGCCAGACTCCTTATCTGTAAACTGAGGCAATATCCTCTTCATGGGGTTGTCATGGGCATTAAAGGATATGATGGATGTAAAACATTCAGTCCAGTTCCTGGCACGGAAAAGATGCTCCGCAAACAGTGGCAATGTTTATCACACAGTATGGGTCTTGTTGTTTTGTTTGTTTGTTTGTTTGTTTCCAGCCTCATGTGATGTTGTGAGCATTTTCCCCACAGTGATTAAATACTCATTTTTCAGATCTATAACTGATACATGTTTTCCCTGCCCCAGTTTCAGGCCAGGAAAAATATATCTCCCCTGACTCTATGTCTGCAGAATGAAGCTCCAAAGATGGGGGGCCCCCAGAAGGCCCTCTCAGACCTGAAACTCAAGATTTTCCTGACTGTTCACAGAGGGAGGGAGTAGAGGTTGAGCACGGCCAACAGTGAGGGGTTCCCAGCAAGCGGCGTTGTGTTGTGAGTGGGCCTGGGGAGAGCAGAGGGACAGTCTAGAGAAGTCTTATGAAGACTTTGGGGCCAAGAGTGGCCTATGAAGCCCTCTTTTGTGCCTCTAAACAGGGGGCAGCACAGCATGGGAGGGGAAAGAGCCCAGATAGGGTCAGTTAGGCCTGGGTCCCCATCCTTACTCTCACACTTACTGGCTCCATGACCCGGGACTATGTCCTTCTCCTCTCTGAACTCCACTTGCCCATCTGCAAAAGGCAATCCGAGGGGTTGTGAGGCTGAACTTGGATGCTGCACATTAAGGACCTGGCCCACAGTAAGCACTCCTGAAATTATAAGTACAATGTGCTGTGGGAGACTATGCTTACCACGTCCACCGTCTCATCCCCGGTGCCTCGGGGCATCTGGCACATGGCCTACCTTCAGTGAGTATCTGGGGGATGAACGAACTTTGCACTTTAAGGACACAAACTGAGGGAGGGGACAGAAGCAGCCTTGCCCAGGCAGGGTTTGGCATCTGGAGAACTGCTTGTGGTGCCGGCCAGCAAACCCAAGATGGAGAAGACAGGCCTCCCTCACTCTCCAACCTCCCCAGTGAAGGTCATCATGACAACAGCATGATGAAGCTGGGCTCATCTCCGAAGTGATCAAGCCAGTATGGAAGGGTGGACAAGGCATCTCCTCTAATAGGGTTGGGTCGTATGGCTGGATTCGATCCTGGTTCTTCCGCTTACCCGCTAGGGAATCCTGGGTAAGGCACTTCAGCATTCTGAGTCTGCCTTCTCAGTTACAAAGTGGGGGCAGTGCCCTCTATGCCATAATATTAAATAAGAACAGAGGGGCGCCTGGGGGGCTCGGTCGGTTGAGCGTTTGTTTGCCTTCAGCTCAGGTCATGATCCCGGTGTCCTGGGACTGAGCCCCACATCAGGCTCCCCGCTTAGCATGGAGCCTGCTTCTCCCTCTGCTCCTCTCTCTTGCTCTCTCTCTCACATAAATAAATAAGTAAAGAAGAATATAAAATCCCTGGCCTAGAGCAGGTGCTCAGACATGAGGCCCTGTGAATATTACTGCCCTGAATGTCTGGGTTCAGGTTTCACTAAGTGCCCTCGGTGCCTCTGGCAGTGTTTGGGGATGGCCTCTGTTTACGGGATGGTTTTGCAGCAACAGGGTTCGGTAAGGAGTCCTTGACAGAGACTTCCCACACGCTTGGTGCTTGGGGTGATGCGCCGTCCGTCAGTCGGCCCTCTAGGACACGGCAGCTCAGGGGAGGTGTGAGTGTAGGGCCCCAGTGATGGAATCTCCAAGAACCAAAAGATAGCCTCTTAAGACTGTGATGACTTTTCCTGGGTAGAATAAGTGAGGAAGGTGATGGGCACCTGGGAACTCGGAGGTACCCAGGCTCCATGCGCCCTTGTGTGAGGAAGCAGGGAAAATAGTTTCCTGGTGCATCAGAGCTCCCTGTTGAGTCAGGGAGTCTCGGCTCCCACAGGTTGGGCATGGCTGTTTTGGTTAAACGACCAGTGCTGGAAGGCCTTGGGTACCATCCAAAGGGCAGGCCAGCCAGGGGGAGGGCAGTCTGAATGGGAACAGAACATGTAGTCCTTGCTCTAATCCATTTCGTGTATTAATACCAACAGTGGTGGCTCTGTAATCATCTGCCTGGTCCCAGGCTCTCCTGGGGCCCTTCCACACCTTGAGTTCTCTCTGCCAACTGGCGCTACAGGTTGTGTAAGGCCCACTTTCTGAAAGGCCCAGAGGCTCAGGGAGGAGAAGGGAATTCCTGAGCTCGCTCACACAGCTGCTGGGCAGGATCTGAACCCAGGGCTCCTGGGGTTCCCACCATACCACGGTGCCCCCACGGTTTTCTAAGGTGATAATACCCAGACAGAGCCCTGGGAAAGGTTTCAGCTCCCAGCATCATCAAAGATAAATTAACCTGTTGGGTAAAGAGAGTCAACTGACTCCAGAGAAACGTGAGCAGCGGGCGCCTGGGTGGCTCAGTTGGTTAAGCGACTGCTTTCGGCTCAGGTCATGATCCTGGAGTCC